AAGCGTGAATTCGAAAAATTAAAGAATTAAAAAATCGAAAAATCTCATTACTGAAATATCGAAAAATTTAGTAAACGGAAAATTGAAAATAGGGAAATTGAAAAACCGTAAAATAGAAAAGCCGAAAATCTAAAAATTGAAAAAAAAAATCGGAGAATGGAGAGCTCGAAATCGACCAAAATTGAAAAATAGAATAGTTAAAAATTGAAAAATTTAAAATAAAAAAAGGATAAATCGAAAAATCGAAAAACTGAAAACTCGAAAAAAAGAAAAATTAAAAACGGGAGAAAACTTGAAAAGAAGAATTGAAAAATTGAAAAATCCCAAAACGGAAAATTTGAAAATTTTATAAACTGAAAAATCGAAACATTGAGAATTCGAGAAATTGAGAAATGGGAAAATTAAAAATCGATTAATCGAGAAATTAAGACAAAAATTTAGAAACGTCAAAAACTGAAGAACTGAAAACATCATTATTGAAGTTTTGATTTATCGACTTTTAGATTTCCCAGTTTTTCAGTTTTTCCATTTTTCAATTTTTCCACGTTTCAATTTTGGAATTTTCCTTCAAACTACTCAAAAACCAGACACAAGGGATCCCTCAAATCATCCTAAACCAATTTTTCGATTCTAAAATTTTAGACTCTTCAATATTTCGATTTTTTACTTTTCTAATGTTTGGCATTTCTAAATTTTCGGTTTTTCGAATTTTCAATTTCTCGATTAAACGATTTTCGACTTTTCGATTTCTCGATTTTTCTATTTTTCCGTTTGCAATATTTTTATTTTTCGATTTTTCTATTTTTCAATTTTTCGAATTTTTAAATTTTAGGTTTTTCAATTTTTTAATGTGTTGATTTTCAGGTGTGTTGGTTTTTGCGATTTCTCGGTTTTATGTTTTTCGGTATTTCAATTTTCCGTTTGACTTTTCGGTTTTTCAAATTTTTTGATTTTTAAATTCTTTGTTCTTCAGTTTTACAATTTTTCGATTTCTCAGTTTATCGAGACTTCGACGTTTCGATTATTTGATGGTTCAATTTCCCAATTTTTCAGTTTTTCCGTTTAACGATTTTTTTTTTATTTTATTATTTTCCACCGTGTTTCTTCAATTTCCTGATTTCTCTATCTATTCATCTTTTCATTTCTTAATGTTTTAAGTTTTCAATTTTTAGATTCTTCAATTTTCGGTTCTTCAATGTTTCGATTGTTTACTGTTCCAATTTTTGGCATTTCGAATTTTCAATTTCTCGATTAATCAATTTTTGGATTTTTCGATTAATTTTCTCGATTTCCCGACTATCGATTTTTCAGTTTTTCTATTCTTCAATTTTTCGATTTTTCAGGTTATTGATTTTTCAGGTTTTTGATTTTTCAATTTTTCGATTTTTTGGATTTTCAATTTTTCGATTTTTCAGGTTATTGATTTTTCGGGTTTTTGATGTTGTCATTTTTTCGATTTTTTGAGTTTTCAATTTTTCGATTTTTCGGTTTTTCTATTTTTGAATAGTTTGATGTTACAGCTTTGGGATTTTTCAATTTTTCGATTCTTCAATTTTGAGTTTTAATTTTTCAAAAAATTCTAGAATCTAAAATTTGAAGAATTCAGATCCTGAAGAAAATAGAGAAATAAAAAAACAGAAACATCAAAAGATTGAGAAATCGAGTGATCGAAAGTCGAGAAATTGAAAAATTAAGAAATCGAAATCGGCTAAAATTGTGGAATAAAAAAATCTAAACATTGAAATATTGAAAAATTGAGAAATTTTAAAACTGAAAAATTGAAAAACCGAAAACTTAAAAATTCGAAAAATTGGAAAATAGAAATATCGAAGAACAGAATAATCGAAAAACCTAAAAATTATAAAAATTGAAGAATTGAAATATCGAAAAATTTAAAAATAGGGGAACTGAGACATCAAAAAATCGAAAAATTTACAAATCTAAAATTCAAAAATCGAAAAATTGAAGATTCGAGATACTGAAAAATCCCTAAACTGGAAATGGAAAAATTGAAAAATAGAAGAAAAATTAAAGGATTAAAAAATCGAAAAATCCCAATACTGAAATATCGAAAATTGAGTAAACGGAAAATTGAAAATAGGGAAATTGAAAAACTGTAAAACAGAAAAGCCGAAAAACCCAGAATTCGAAAATTCACATAATTGAACAATCGAAATATCGAAATGGTGAAAAATCGAATATTCGAAAAATGGAAAAATTGAAACAGGGAAATCGAAAAGTCGAATTGACAAATATAACATCAAACAATTGAAAAACTGAAAAAACGAGAAACAGAAAAATCGAAAATCCGGAAACTAAAACGTCGAAAACTTCAGGAACCGAAAAACTGTAAAAAACAGAAATTGAAAAGTCGAAAAACAAAAAATCGAAAAATCTAAAACCGAATTTCGAAAATTCAAAATTTCGAATAATTGGAAAAAGAAAACTTGAGAGACAGAAATATCAATAAACTGAAGAATCAAAAATTTGATAAACCCAGAAATCAAAAAATTAATAAATGGAGAAACGAAAAAGTCTAAAAATCAAAATACTCCAAAACTGAAACATCGAAAAATCGAGAAGTCTAAAACTCCATTAACCGAGAAAGCGAGAATTCGAAAAATGGAAAAATTGAAGAATAAAAAATTGAAATATACCAAAAATCTGAAAATTGGAAAATGAAAAAATTTAAAAAACCAAAAGCCGGAAAACCCAGAAATCGAAAAATCACATAATTGAAAAATCGAAATATCGAAATGGTGATAAATCGAAAATTCAAAAAAGTTAAATTTAAAAAATCGAAATTCAAATGTCGAAAAAACGAAAATTCGAAAAATGGAAAAATTGAAATAGGGAAATCGAAAAGTCGAATTGACAAATATAACATCGAACAATTGAAAAACTGAAAAATCGTGAAACAGAAAAATCGAAAACCCCCAAACTCAAACGTCGAAAACTTTAGAAACCGAAAACTGAAGAAACAGAAATTGAAATTGAAAAATAAAAAACCAAAAAATCTAAAACCGAAAGTCGAATATCCAAAAATTAGAAAAATTGAAAAATGAAAAATTGAGGGACAGAAATATCAATAAACTGAAGAATCAAAAATTTGATAAACCCAGAAATCAAAAAATTAATAAATGGAGAAACATAAAAAATTCAAAAATTGAAAAATACGAAAATCAAAGGACAGAAACATCAAAAAATTAAAATATCGAGAAATCGAAGAATCGAAAAATTGATTAACTCAGAAATTGAAAAATTGAAAAATCATGAAACAGAAAAATTGAAGAAAGAGAAATCGTAAAGTTGAAAAATCTAAAATTTGAAAAGACCCAGAAATCAAAAAATTAATAAATGGACAAACAAAAAAATTCAAAAATTGAAAAATAGAAAAATCGAAGTACAGAAACATCAAAAAATTAAAATATCGAGAAATCGAAGAATCGAAAGATTGATTAACTCAGAAATCGAAAAATTGAAAAATCATGGAACAGAAAAATTGAAGAAAGAGAAATCGTAAAGTTGAAAAATCTAAAATTCGAAAAGTTATAAAACAGAAAAGTCGACGGACAGAAAAATCGAGAAATTAAAATATCGAGAAATTAAAGAATCAAAAAATTGATAAACCCAGAAATCAGAAAATTGATAAAAAAAAATGGAAAAATCAAAAAATCAAACTACTCCAAAACTGAAACATCGAAAAATTGAAAAATCGAGAAATCGAAAATCGAAAAGCAGAAAAATCAATGCATCAGAAATTCTAAAAACTGAGGAATTGAAAAACTGAAAAATCGAGAAATATGAAAACCAGAAAATCGAGAAAGCGTGAATTCGAACAATCGAAAAACCGAAAACTTAGAAACTCTAAAAATGGAATAATTCAAGAATAAAAAATTGAAAAATACCAAAAATTTGAAAACTGGAAAATGCAAAAATTTTAAAATCTAAAAGCCGGAAAACCCAGAATCGAAAAATCACATAATTGAATAATCGAAATATCGAAATGGTGATAAATCGAAAAATCGAAAAATTTAAATTTAAAAAATCGAAATTTTAATGTCGAAAAATCGAAAATTCGAAAAATGGAAAAATTGAAATAGGGAAATCAAAAAGTCGAATTGACAAATATAACATCGAACAACTGAAAAATCAAGAAACAGAAAAGCCGAAAATCCCGAAACTAAAACGTTGAAAATTTTAGGAACCGAACAACTAAAAAAAATAAACTGGAAAGTCGAAAAATAAAATATCGAAAAATCTAAAACCGAAAGTCGGAAATTCAAAAATTCGAAAAATTGAAAAAAAGACCAATTGAGGGACAGAAATATCAATAAATTGAAGAATCAAAAATTTGATAAACCCAGAAATCAAAAAATTAATTAATCGAGAAACGAAAAAGTCTAAAAATCAAAATACTCCAAAACTGAAATTTCGAAAAATCGAGAAGTCTTAAAATTCATTAACCGAGAAAGCGAGAATTCGAAAAATGGAGAAATTGAAGAATAAAAAATTGAAAAATTCCAAAAATCTGAAAATTGGAAAATGCAAAAATGGTGATAAATCGAAAAATTGAATAAGTTAAATTTAAAAAATCGAAATTCTTGTCGAAAAATCGAAAATCCTGAAACTAAAACGTCGAAAACTTCAGGAACCGAAAAACTGTAAAAAACAGAAATTGAAAAGTCGAAAAATAAAAAATCGAAAAATCTAAAACCGAAATTCGAAAATTCAAAAATTCGAATAATTGGAAAAAAGAAAACTTGAGAGACAGAAATATCAATAAATTGAAGAATCAAAAATTTGAAAATGTCTAAAAATCAGGATACTCCAGAACTGAAACATTTTCGTACCTCACTATATGTGGTGCGGCGGTAACGTGTACGTCGGTGCTCCGCTGCATAACAACAATGAACCGCCACTAGACTCCCATCTTGGGCTTCTACCTACTATTTTGTTAGTCGCCTCAAGATAGTCCACAGACACACTTGCTGCTGCGTTCCACAATGTTATCTCCAGTTCTTTTTGTTGTGTTTTTTTTAACTTTGTTTAAATTTTCATCGTTGAACGTACCTGTAACAGAACTCAAGAGACCTTACCCAAGAGATTGCTCAGACATTAAAGAGCGATACTTTAGCAAATTTCACACAATAAAACCCGAATATGCTGAAGAACCCTTCGCAGTTTTATGCGACTTTAAGAATCCAAAGACTCACTGGACTTATATTTTGAACAGATTTACGGGAAACCAAAGTTTTTTCAGAGACTGGGACAGCTACGTGAACGGATTTGGCCATCTTGCAGGAGATTTCTGGTTAGGATTGGAAAAGATTTACCAGTTAACAGGTAATGGACCTGCAGTTCCTCCTTCGTTCCATATTTTGTAAAGATTTATTTTTTATTTTTTTGACTTAAAGAAATTGGAGACGTCCCAAGGTTACTTTTTCTTCTTTAACTAAGACAAAGACTGACAAAACAAAATATTGAATCCATTTTTTTTCAGGCCACGAAATTAACGAACTCTCCGTCGAACTTGTTGATTGGCGGAACAGGGTGGCAACCGTGACTTACGCAGGCTTCATGATTGCCGGTAAAGACACCGATTATACTATAAAACTGCTAACAGGAGCGCATGGTGACGCCGGCGACAGTCTTTATGACCAGTCTGGATTGAAATTTAGCACTATAGATAGAGACAACGACATGTATAATGGCAACTGCGCCGATGAGATCAACGCGGGATGGTGGTTCAGGAACTGTACAAGAGGTCTTCCTACTGGGACGTACTACCCAAGGGATGCGCCATTCGGAAAGCGTTACAAGTGCATCTACTGGAGAACTTGGCATAGAAAACAATGCCTCCAGAAGGTGAGCATGAAGGTGAGACCGCGACCACCGTATCGTTCTCTCTACAAACGTCCTTATTTCAAAAAATTAGTTAGTTTCCCTAAAACAACACCCAGAAATTAAACCTAAATCTGAATGTGTATGTTTGTGATAAAAAGTTAGTACCTAGATTTTAAATTTGTTTATGTAGTGTATCAGTGGTCAATAAACGATTTGTGCATGTACTGGTTTTATCTGTTTTGTGATTGAATCATTTAAATTCCAAAAATTGTGTAATCTCAGTATGTGATTCTGGAAAAACGGTTGGAGTTATCAGGTTATCGTACATACTTCTGAACCATGACCAAGTTCAACTTTTCTATTTTTCAATTTTGGTCGATTTCGAGCTGTCCATTGTCCGATTTTTTGATGTCAGTATTTTTCGGCTTTTCTATTTTTCAGTTTTTTATTTTCCCTATTTTCAATTTTCGATATTTCAGTAATGGGATTTTTCGATTTTTTAATTCTTTAATTTTTCTATTTTTCAATTTTTCGATTTTCAGTTTAGGGATTTTTCAATATCTCGAATCTTCAATTTTTCGATTTTTTGATGTCTCAGTTCCCCTATTTATAATTTTTCGATATTTCAATTCTTCAATTTTTATAATTTTTAGATTTTTCGATTATTCTGTTCTTCGATATTTCTATTTTTCAATTTTTCGAATTTTTAAGTTTTCGGTTTATCGATTTTTCAGTTTTAAAATTTCTCAATTTTTCAATATTTCAATGTTTAGATTTTTTTATTGCACAATTTTTGGATTTTTCGCGTTTTTAATTTTTCGATTTTTCAATTCTAGCCGATTTCGATTTCTTAATTTTCCAATTTCTCGACTTTCGATCACTCGATTTCGAACTGAAGAAACAGTAAATTGACTAATCGAATAATTGTAGAATTACAAAATCAAAAAGAAATTCGAAAAACGGAAAAATTGACAAATTGGGAAATTTAACAATGGAATAATCGAAACATCAAAAAAGCAACTCATCAAAAATTTGAAACACATAAAATTTTAAAAGTCGAAAAATCGAAAAATAAACATATTGAAAAATGGTAGAAACGAAAAATTAGCAAATCGAGAAATGGATATATCAAAAAATGGAAAAATTTATACACTTAAAATTGAAAAATTAAAACTTAAAATTGAAAAATTAAAGAATCGAACAATTGAAAATTCCCAAAGCTGAAACATCAAGCCATTCAAAAATAGAAAAACCGAAAAATCGAAAAATTGAAAAATGGAACAACTGAAAAAATGGGAAATCTAAAAGTCATAAGTCGAAAACTTCAAAAATGATGTTTTCAGTTCATGAGTTTTTGACGTTTCTAAATTTTTGTCTTAATTTCTCGATTAATCGATTTTTAATTTTCCCATTTCTCGATTTCTCGACTTCTCGATGTTTCGATTTTTCAATTTATAAAATTTTCAAATTTTCCGTTTTGGGATTTTTCAATTTTTCAATTATTCTTTTCAAGTTTTCTCCCATTTTTAATTTTTCTGTTTTTCGAGTTTTCAGTTTTTCGATTTCTCGATTCATCCTTTTTTAATTTTAAATTTTTCAATTTTTTACTATTCTATTTTTCAATTTTGGTCGATTTCGAGCTTTCCATTATCCGATTTTTTGATGTTCGAATTTTTTTAATTATCTTTTTTTAAATTTTTAAATTTTTCGGCTTTTCTATTTTTCAGTTTTTCAATTTTCCTATTTTCAATTTTCCGTTTAGTCAATTTTTCGATATTTCAGTATTGGGATTTTTCGATTTTGCAATTCTTTAATTTTTCTCCTATTTTTCAATTTTTCGATTTTCAGTTTAGGGATTTTTCAACATCTCGAATTTTCAATTTTTCGATTTTTTGATTTTTGAATTCTTCGATTTTTGAATTTTAGATTTGTAAATTTTTCGATTTTTTGATGTCTCAGTTCCCCTATTTTTTAATTTTTCGATGTTTCAATTCTTCAATTTTTATAATTTTTAAATTTTTAGATTATTCTGTTTTTCGATATTTCTATTTTCCAATTTTTCGAATTTTTAAGTTTTCGGTTTATCGATTTTTCAGTTTTAAAATTTCTCAATTTTTCAATATTTCAATGTTTAAATTTTTTTATTGCACAATTTTTGGATTTTTCGAGTTTCGAATTTTTAATTTTTCGATTTTTCAATTCTAGCCGATTTCGATTACTTAATTTTTCAATTTCTCGACTTTCGATCACTCGATATCTCAATCTTTTGATGTTTCTATTTTTTTAATTTTTCTTTTTTCTTCAGTATCTGAATTCTTCAAATTTTCGATTTCTAGAATTTTTCAGTTTGTTGACTAAATTTTTTGATTCCTCAATTTCTGAATTAATCGATTTTTTGATTTTGCTATTTCTCGATTTCTCGACTTTTCAATGTTTAAATTTTTCAGTTTTTCAATTCTTCAATTATTGAATTTAACAATTTTTCAGGTCTTTGATTTTTCAATTTTTCGATGTTGTAAATTTTCAATCTTTCTATTTTGGGGTTTTCAGTTTTTCGATTCTTCAAGTTGTCTATTAACCGATTTTTTGACTTTGCTATTTCTCGATTTCTCGACTTTTCAATATTTCGAGTTAAAACCTAAAGATTGAAGAATTGAAAAACCGGAAAATCGAAAAGTCGAAATTTCGAAACTGAAAAAACCTTGAGAAATCGAAAAATTGAAAGCTCTAAAAATTGAAAAATTAAAACATCGAGAAATCGAAAGATGAAAAGATCGAGAAATCGAGAAATTGAAGAAAATGTGGAAAATAACAAAATCAAAAAAAAAATCGTTAAACGGAAAAATTGAAAAATTGGGAAATTGAACCATCAAATAATCGAAACGTCGAAGTCTCGATAAACTGAGAAATCGAAAAATTGTAAAACTGAAGAACAAAGAATTTAAAAACCAAAAAATTTGAAAAACCGAAAAGTCAAACGGAAAATTGAAATACCGAAAAACATAAAACCGAGAAATCGCAAAAACCAACACACCTGAAAATCAACACATTAAAAAATTGAAAAACCTAAAATTTAAAATTCGAAAAATTGAAAAATAGAAAAATCGAAAAATAAAAATATTGCAAACGGAAAAATAGAAAAATCGAGAAATTGAAAATTCGAAAAACCGAAAATTTAGAAATGCCAAACATTAGTAAAGTAAAAAATCGAAATATTGAAGAATCTAAAATTTAAGAATCGAAAAATTGGTTTAGGATGATTTGAGGGATCTCTTGTGTCTGGTTTTTGAGTAGTTTGAAGGAAATGTCCAAAATTGAAACGACGAAAAATTGAAAAATGGAAAAACTGAAAAACTGGGAAATCTAAAAGTCGATAAATCGAAAACTTCAATAATGATGGTTTCAGTTCTTCGGTTTTTGACGTTTCTAAATTTTTGTCTTAATTTCTCGATTAATCGATTTTTAATTTTCCCATTTCTCGATTTCTCGAATTCTCAATGTTTCGATTTTTCAGTTTATAAAATTTTCAAATTTTCCGTTTTGGGATTTTTCGATTTTTCAATTCTTCTTTTCAAGTTTTCTCCCGTTTTTAATTTTTCTATTTTTCGAGTTTTCAGTTTTTCGATTTTTCGATTTATCCTTTTTTTATTTTAAATTTTTCAATTTTTTACTATTCTATTTTTCAATTTTGGTCGATTTCGAGCTCTCCATTCTCCGATTTTTTTTTTTCAATTTTTAGATTTTCGGCTTTTCTATTTTACACTTTTTCAATTTCCCTATTTTCAATTTTCCGTTTACTAAATTTTTCGATATTTCAGTAAAGGGATTTTTCGATTTTTTAATTCTTTAATTTTTCTCCTATTTTTCAATTTTTCGATTTTCAGTTTAGGGATTTTTCAATATCTCGAATCTTCAATTTTTCGATTTTTGATTTTTGAATTCTTAGATTTTTGAATTTTAGATTTGTAAATTTTTCGATTTTTTGATGTCTCAGTTCCCCTATTTTTTAATTTTTCGATATTTCAATTCTTCAATTTTTATAATTTTCAGATTTTTCGATTATTCTATTCTTCGATATTTCTATTTTTCAATTTTTCGAATTTTTAAGTTTTTGGGTTTTTCAATTTTTCAGTTTTAAAATTTCTCAATTTTTCAATATTTCAATGTTTAGATTTTTTATTGCACAATTTTTGGATTTTTCGAGTTTTTAATTTTTCGATTTTTCAATTCTAGCCGATTCCGATTTCTTAATTTTTCAATTTCTCGACTTTCGATCACTCGATTTCTAAATCTTTAGATGTTTCTATTTTTTTATTTCTCTTTTTTCTTCAGTATCTAAATTCTTCAAATTTTCGATTTCTAGAATTCTTCAGTTTTTTGAGTAAATTTTTTGATTCCCCAATTTCTGAATTAATCGATTTTTTGATTTTGCTATTTCTCGATTTCTCGACTTTTCAATGTTTCGATTTAAAACCTAAAGATTGAAGAATTGAAAAACCGGAAAATCGAAAAATCGAAATATCGAAACTGAAAAAACCTTGAGAAATCGAAAAATTGAAAGCTGAAAAAATTGAAAAATTAAAACATCGAGAAATCGAAAGATGAAAAGATCGAGAAATCGAGAAATTGAAGAAAATGTGGAAAATAACAAAATAAAAAAAAATCGTTAAACGGAAAAATTGAAAAATTGGGAAATTGAACCATCAAATAATCGAAACGTCGAAGTCTCGATAAACTGAGAAATCGAAAAATTGTAAAACTGAAGAACGAAGAATTTAAAAACCAAAAAAATTGTAAAACCGAAAAGTCAAACGGAAAATTGAAATAGCGAAAAACATAAAACCGAGAAATCGCAAAAACCAACACATCTGAAAATCAACACATTAAAAAATTGAAAAACCTAAAATTTAAAAATTCGAAAAATTGAAAAATAGAAAAATCGAAAAATAAAAATATTGCAAACGGAAAAATAGAAAAATCGAGAAATTGAAAATTCGAAAAACCGAAAATTTAGAAATGCCAAACATTAGAAAAGTAAAAAATCGAAATATTGAAGAATCTAAAATTTAAGAATCGAAAAATTGGTTTAGGATGATTTGAGGGATCTCTTGTGTCTGGTTTTTGAGTTGTTTGAAGGAAAATTCCAAAATTGAAACGACAAAA